CCGGCCGTGGGGGCCGTGCAGCCCTTCTCGCCGCTGCACCCCCAGCGAGTTCCCCAGTTCCTCCTCCAACATCTGGAGGAGAAAAGCAACGCTGCCATGTCCCATGTCCCATACCCTGCACCACAGGAGCTTGCAGTGAGGAGAGCAGCCCTCCATCACATCCCACGAGCTGGGCCAAGATGGGGAGATGCTTCAGGCTGCAGGAGGACTCACCTCCTTGCGTGCAGCCAACCGTTGCTTCCACTCGCTGAGCTCCATGATGTGCTCCTGGTCCAACCGCCCCAGCTGCCTCCTCTCCTGCTCTGCCAAGAGCTTCATCTTCTCCCTCTGGAGAGGAGAGGTGGAAAGGGGAAGGAAGGTGCTCCAGGAGAGGTAGCAGGGGTGTGGGAAGCCCCTGGGGTGGACAGTTTTGCAGTGGTTCCCTGGTACCTGCATCTGCTCCAGCTCGGCCAGGTTCTCCACCTGCTGCTGCTGCAGAACTTGAAGCTGCTTCTCCTGCTGCTCCTGCTGCTCCTGCGCCTCCGCTCGCTGCCGCCGCTCCTCCTGCTGCACGAACTGCGGTGGGGACACCGTGTCACCCTCCTTCTCCCCAAAAAGCCATCGCTTACAGCTTTTGGGACACTTCCCCCATATTTTGTGCCGGGGAACCTTGTACCTGCTTGGCCTTCTCCTTCTGCTTGGCCCCATTAACCTCCTGGATCTTCAGGTTGTCCTTGAAGAGGGCCAGGCGGATTTTGGCATCACAGCGTTGGCTTTTCAGCAGCTGAGCCCGCTCCTGTGCCTGCTGGCTCCTCAGCTCCTCCAGCAAGAGCTGGTGGAAGCGGTTCATCCTCTCTGTCTCCTGGGAAAGGAGCAGGAGGATGAGCCAGGAGAAGGGTTGGGATCCCACAGGGCTGGGAGAGCATCACCAACGGTTCTCACCTCACCTTCTCATGGCGCTTGTGGAGCTGCTGCCTCTGCAGCGCATGTTGCTCCTTGACCTGCTGCCTGAAGAGCTGGTACTTCTCCTGCAGGTGCCCTTGCTCCATGTTCCACACCACTGACTCGCGGGCTGCCGGGCAAGACCACGGCACCATGATCACCTCCAAACCCTCTCAGCCAGACCCCGTCCCATGCCCCTGCTCCTCTCCCCGGGAACCCTCCATCCTCCTCCTCCCAGCCCAGTCCTGTCCACCTCTCCTGAGGCTATGGATCTTGCTGATGCACTCCCAGTTGATGGACATCATCTTCTTCTTGTGCTCCTGGACAACTCTCTGCAAGGCTGCGTTGAGTTCCTCCTGCTGCTGCTGCAGGAACCGCTGCTCCTGTGGTGAGCAATGGAGAGGCTTCATCCCACCACCAAGGAGAGATGGTCCCCAAGGTCCTGGTGGCAAGACCAGCCAGCACTGCCCTGGACCCTCACCTCTGTCCCATCGCCCTTCAGCTCTTGCATCCTCCTCCCACAGTCCTTCTCCTGGAGGGACTTGAGGCGCTTGGCCTCATCACGCAGCCTCACCGTGTACTTGAGCTCCTGACGTTCCTTCAGCTGCCGATAGCGCCGCTCCAAGCTCTCCACCTCCCGGTCATAAAACTCCTTCTTCCTCTGCCATGCAGACATGGTTAACAGGGCTGCAGGGACCAGAAGTTGCCACCAAAGCAACCAAACCTCCCCCAGAACCTGGCATCTCGCGCAGTGGGACCCCAACACCCCCTTGCACAGGCTGGGGATCGCCTGTTCCTCTCTGAACACATCATGGCACCAAGGGACAATGGTCCAGTTACCGTCATCTCCTGCTCAATGTGACGAAACATCTGCTCACGCTGCTGGTGAAACTTCTGCTCCAGCTGGCTCTGAGCTCGCTGCTCTTCCTTCTGCAGCACTCGCAGCTCACGGAGCTCTTGGCGCCTAAAGGTTTGGGGAGTTGGAGTGAGAATGAAGAGAAGGAGGCCCTGGAGGCACCATTCTTGAAGGAGGCCCTGGAGGCACCACGCTCTCTCCCAGGATGGCTAACTTGTAGGTGGCTAAAGGAAGGGAGAAGCTCAGCCCTGGTGCAACATCATGGAGAAGACTTTCTCCAGCAAGAAGGAAGATGGGACACCCGTTGGGTCTGTGGTGGCCATGCTCCCAAGCTCAAACAATGTCACTGGCCCTCCAGCTCCACCTTCATTCTTTCCTACTCTCCTTGGGTAACATGAGAACTTATGGGAGAAGATCTTCCCCTCTTCTCTCCTTGAGCTGGCTGCTGGACACACCAGATATGGGGCTGGGCAATGGTTTGGCTCCTTGTGTGTCCCCACGGCCCAGCACTGAGGATGCCAGGAAGGGCTTGCTCATGTTCTCCTGCTGGAGTAGACCCCAGCCAGGGAGGCAGATGGGTTCTCCAAGCATGGAGGTCAAGCACTTGTGGTTTGAACAGAGCCCCACAGACCCATCCTCCCTCTCACACCTTCTCCCTTTTGCCCCTGGTTCTCCTTGGCCAGAAATGGGTGGGAGATGCCTGGTGGCCCCTCCACTACCAGCATCACTCACCGAGCTGAGCGCACCATCTCATCCCTTGCCGCGGCCTTGCCAACGGTTCTGGCAGTCGTCACACTCACCTCCTCCCCATCCACCACAAACCTCCGGGTCTTCTTGACTGTCCTTTGGAGTGAGGCAGGTTCCTGTGACCAGGAACAACAGTTTGAGCTCAGATGGCCCAAAACTACGTAAACCCAACATGGGACCTGGTGCAAGGTGGGGCAACTTCCCATGGTCATGTTACCTGCAAGCTTCTCACCTGCTGGGCTTCCCCGGCAGAGGAGAAAGGTTGCGCTGCTGCAGAGAGGGCACTTGCACCTTGTGCATCTGCAGGGTTTTCCACAGGGGATGGTTCCTCTCCTTGCTTTGACATGATGGATGGATCTGGTGTGTTCCCTACTTCCCACACTGCCCGCGCCTGGGAAGAGGTGCGGACAAGGGCAGAGTCAAAGCTCATGGTCTTTGTGGCCTTTGGATGTCCACCAAGGGCTTCCTGGGGCTCTGGCACTGCTCTGTGACCCTCTAAGCCACCCATCTCCTCTCCAGATCCATTACTTGATGGCCCGTCAGGAGCTGGAGCAACCTGCACCCCTTCTTCTCCAAGCTCTCCATCATTCCCATCTTGTCCTTTCCAACCATCCCCATGAGCAGTTCCTGGCTGGTTGCCTCTTGGGCTGTTTTCTGCTTTGTCTTGTGTTTCTTCTTCAGCAGGTCCTGGGATCTCCAAAGGGGAAGGATCCTCTGCTGAATTTTGGACCTCCTCACTTGCAGGTCCCTCTCCTGCACATGCTGCAGAGGCTGCCTCCAGCTCCTCCCCTGGGCTGGCTGCATCTCCCACTGGTTCACGGTCTCCAAGCAAACACCCTTTTACAACATCCTCTTCCACTTTCACTTCTGCTGACACCAGGGCCTCCTTGGGAGAAGTTTCATCCCCAGTTGCAGCATTGTCTGTGGCTTCCTCCTCAGTCCTCCCCACCTCCTGCTCAACCAGGTCCAGAGGGTCAGTGATGGGTTCACACATGGCTGAGTTTCTCTCCTCGTTCTTCTCTCTGACCAGGGGCTCCTGCCACCCCTTGGGAACATCTGACCCCACCACTACCTCCTCCACCCCACTGGGCATCAGCGATTCTTCACCTCGTGGCACCCTCTCCTCCACCAGCTCAGTCTCACCAGCACCCTCAGGTCCCATGGGTGCCCTTCCTGCTCCATCACCATCCTTCCCCAGGTCATCTTCTGCCCCAGTGGAGCCAACCTCAGCCTTCAGGTCTAGCAATGACCGAGTAACCTGGTGCTGATGCTCTGTTAGTGACTTGAAGCTTTGGGTTTTGGTCCCCATGGTCCACAGGTCCAGGGCTGCCACCAGCTGCCCCATGACCAAGCCTCTGGACCAGTCCCCACCCATGGGTGCAGGCAGGGCTGGTGAGGTACAAGTAGGGTCTCTGCTTGACTCCTTTGTTGGATCACTTTTGGGGGTCAAAATGGGACTTGGTTGGGCTCCAAGCTGTCCCTCTGCAGGTGTTTTGGCCACCAGTGATGCATTGGCATGTTGACTTTCTTCCTTGGGTCCAACCTGCTCTACCTTCACCTCTTGCAGTTCAGCAAGG